CCCTCCGTCTTCATTTGAATAACTAATTGATTCTAACTAACGCCCCACTGAGATCATACTGATTTTAGGTTTCTGAGACAAGGCTCTCCAAAATAGGGGAATTAGTTAATCGGCTTCAGTCAGTCAATTCTTCTTCCCATTTTAATGGCTTAGCGTTAGACATTGTGATAAGATCCGAGTCATCTAAAAGATTGCTTTCATTTTTAAAACTCGTGCAGTTTGACTAGAGAGTATTAAATTTTCATTTTCATAAAAAAATTTGCTATTGTTTATTCGAAACTGAGACACCACCACCAGCCCTCCCTCCTCTCACAGAAATTAAAATAAAAAAAGTCTTAGGCATATGTAAAGAATGTGCTTTTTGCTAAAAGAAAAAGTGGAATATAGGCTTAGCAGAATCTATGCACAATTATCAATTTCTACACAAGCATAGTTAAAGATGAGTGAAATTTACACAGGTGAGTGGTTTCCAGGAAGGGTTCTTGAAGTCTTCAAGTTACATCACCAGATAACAGTTCACGGGTTGAGATTGGGAGGTGGGGATATCAGGATGAGGTGAAGATACACTAACCACGGTCGCCAACTCTGGAAAGTTCTGCTGAACAGTTGATGTGGAACTAGATGGATTCTCGTTGGTTGGAGGAACTATTAGATCAAAGTAGGCAAGGACAGGACCACTGGTAGTGACTGGAGATTCCGAAGCTTTGCTGAACTCTCCTAAAACTGTGTTTCCTCTTGCAGTTAGGATAGCATAGTGAACTTCTGGAGGCTGTTCAGACCGGGATGATGCTAATTGGATGCACTCACTCGTCAGTGTGGAATTTGGAGATCCTGGTCGCCAGATGGAGCTGCGCTTTGGAGAGGGCAATCTGGCTTTATCGATCGGGTTTGACGGAGGAACGACAAAAGATTGACTTCTTTCTTCTGTCGCAGCGGCATTGGAAGTCGCTCTTTTTGCTCGAGCCCAGAGAATGGCAGCAAAAAGAGCAAATCCGACAGCTAGACTGAAAACTAGGATCAACAGAAACATGACGATATTGCCGAAGCTGAGTTTGATGGGTTTTCCGTTGTTCTGGCCATCTTGAGGTTCTTGATTTTTAATCTCCATCCAATCACTTACTCTTTGGCCATCATTCTCACCCTCAGGACTAGCATCTGCCGCATCTGCTGGCCATAAAGCATGTCCAGACATTCTTGAGGCCCAATTAAATTCAATATAGAATCTCGAGTCCGTGACCCTTGAAGGACTTCCTGAATCAGAGACCCTTATCATAACGTCTACCTTACTTCCAGAGGGTATACTACTGAGTCTCATTAAAGTAGCATTGTTGATGATGGGTTTAATCGTCAATGTTTCGTTCTTGTCGATCATAAAGTACTCAGAGCCATTGCACTGTCTTTCGATGGCATACATCAGTGTCTTGCTATTTGTACTATCATAGACATCAAGAGGAATGCTGATGCCTCGAACATTTTCGGCTTTCAGGGGACGGCCAGGAGATTTATTGATTGGCAGAACTACTGTTGACTTTGGGAAGGGTCTTACAACTTTCAAGGTGTCTGCTGATTTTGAATTCTCAATAACGGCTGCCAGAGTAAAAGTGGAAGAAAGGGTCTTCTCCGAACCAATATCATTGGTCACCACGGTTAAGGCAACTACTGAGAGTTCGTCTTTGTCAAGAGGGTAAAGAGTTATTAGGGCACCATTCTCTTTCAATGCAAAATATTTCCTTGTCGTAGGAGTTGGATACGCCTCCTGAGTAACAAGTTTAGCAGACACCTTCTGTTGTCCATCCATATCCGCATCCTTGAAGATTAACTGTGAAACCATATAACCTATCGATGTGTCGTGTTTAACTGGAATTATATGCGGGCTCTTTAGTTCTGGAGCATTATCGTTTACATCTTGAACTTTTACTCGAACTTTTACAGAAGAAGTTAGAGCTGGATCCATAGAATCGGTCTCAGGAACATCTACAGCCACTATTTCAAACTCATGCCTTTTCGAACGTTCATAGTCCAGAGGTGTTTTCAGGTAGACAGCACCGGTATCGGAGTTCACAGAGAATGGACAATCTTTCTCTCTTGATTTAATGTTGAAGAGAACTTGGTTTCCATCATAATCAATCACCGATGGTAAATACAATGGGTGAAGCAGCTTCTCATCCTCGCTCACTGTCAAGTTAATCAAATTCGTCGGGGCTTTTTGTGGTGAGTAGAAAACAGGCGGGTTATCATTTTGATTTCCGACTTTGATAGACAAAGGGAAAGTTGTATTCAAAGGCGGGTCTGCCTTGTCTTGACAGATAAGAATAAAATCAATTGAGGGAGTTTTCTCGTAATCTAGTCGTTGAGTTGTCCAGATTGTTAGAAAAGTCTGACCTTCAAGCCGAAGAGGCAAACGATCTTCGTTCTCCAAATGGCATTCGATTTTTCCCTGACTTACTTCATCCACATCAGTTATAAGTAGTTGAAGAGCTGGGAAATTCAATTTGCTATTTTCCATTACTGTGCGATTCTGTTGGACCGAAATCTGAGGTGAGTTGTCGTTCATATCTATGACGACGATTGTCAAGGCGAAAGAGGAAGTCATAGATGGTTGACCATCATCATATGCAAGAATATCAAGTTTGATTTTTCTTTCAGAGTATTTCTCATAGTCCAACTCTGAATGCATGAAGAGCTCACCCGTTTCAGAATTCAGAAGGAAGTTCTCGTATAGTTCTGTGGAATGTTGAGTTTTGAATTTGTATCGAACTCTGCCATTGGCTCCTGAGTCAGCATCTGTAGCTCGAACTGTGTAGATTGGTTGGTTGTAAGTATGGTTTTCCATTACTCGTATTACTTCAGTAGGTTGAGCAAACACCGGAGCGTTATCGTTGAGATCTGAGAGAAGAATATTGATTGCAATTGATCCAAATTTCGGAACAGCCCCTCCATCAATTGCAATCAATTTGAGGGAGAATTTTCTGTGCCTAACGTTTTCATAATCTAGTGGAACCGATGAACTGACTTTCAAACAGGGATAGCACTCATGTTCGGGAAGTGTCAGCGAAAAAATATCTGAATGTCCATCTAGCTGGTATTTCTTCACTCCATTTTGGGTGGAATCCTTATCAGATGCTCTTGGAAGGCTATATTCACTAATTGATGATTGGCCTTTAGCCAAATCAAGGGATGTGGTTTCTGGAATTGTTATTGAAAATTGTTCATCTTGAAAAGTAGGGGCATTATCATTACTATCAATTATTTGTACATTCACATCGATTTGAAACGGATCATCAGTATTCTCAGAGTCCACGAACACTGATGTGAAGGTAAGATTACATTGGGGAAGGGAGCAACATTCCAGAGGACCACAGATATTTGCTACATCATCCCGGTCGATAGTATTGATGGTGTAAAGGTCACCCATGTCACTGAGGTGAAGAAGACCGGAGGCCAGACCTCTGGTTGTGTCTAGAAGGGTTGCTCGCATTTTTGGACTAGTTGTGGAACCGACGTTGGATTTGGCACGATAGTCCAGACGAGCTGTCTGCTTAATAATGTTTCCTATGAAGGAATTTGCTTGGGTTTCGTCACCCAAGGAAAATGTGGCTGACAGTTCCTTACTCTCCACACTGATAGGGATTACGCACGTAGGGATTAGCGAATATAGAAGTAGGCAAATAGTGTTGAATTTCAGAATGAAGTAAAAGGAAGATTTATTAATCTTTGGAAGCCTCATCAGCGCCTTGCATAGCGGATGAATGGAAACTTATTGGCGGTAAAGATTTCGAACTCAACTCCAAGTTGTTCAACTGTATTAGGATACTTCCAGGTAGAAAGTAATTCCATTTACTGCGAAGATTTTGCTGAAATTGAACAAAGCCTCTTAATAATTCAATTAAGAATATTAGATGTCCTTGGTAATAAAATCTCATTTTGTTTACATAAAGTATCTCTCACCGGCGCTCTCAATGGGAAATGACATAGGATGGAATTATCGAAAAATTATTAATTCTAATAGAATAGTGGTGATCAATGAATAAGTATTAATTTGGTTGACAAAACAAAGGGCCACCGTTTTTCGTTTTGCAATTAGCGTGTTTCCCGATTATATTTTTTTTGGTGAGGAAAAATACTTCTTTTCTAGGCTTAAAAATATATTGTCTGTTGGCAAATGGAACATTCATGCGATATATTGACTACATTATTTATTCTCTTATCTGATATAATTAAATTTAGAAAGTCCATAACTTATTGAATAGGAATGGAGAAAAACTGGATATATAGAATAAAATCAATCATATTTATTGGCTTCCAATACTAAAGTTTAGGCGAGCAAGTGATAGACGAATTAGGGATTACTGAAAATCAATATTCAGTCCCGGAATTACCATGATTAACACGACGTGAACTCATACATTTAGTCTATTTCTTTGTGTATCGTGTTAGTTTTGATTTGTCAGTGAGTATTTATCACCGCTATCTGATATTCGGAAAATATTTGCTTCATTTCTGCGATAGACAAAAGTATGCAAATTTAAATAAAATTACTTTTATATTTTACTCCTATTTCGAAATTTTGATAATATTCTCTGGGTTCAACTCTCAAACGCTCAAGTCAGGAGTGTCTGGCTAAATCAGAATTTACTGTAAGGTTTCTAAAATTTTCAAATTTATTTTAAATAGGATTAGCTTAATTAATCTTACAAAAATGCCATTGTGTCTACACTTCAATTAATCTAATTATGCAGACAAGAAAGGGGATGAGGGTGGATGGAGTAGAGGTTGACTACCAAATCCACTAATAAATTGGCTCCTTTAAGCCAAGAAGCTGACATTTTGTTCAAATAATTAACCTTTCAGGGGGAGACATTGCAGACAAAGGTCAAATGTTATCGTCTGCTATCTACCAGAAAAAAATTATTATTTCGATCGGATGGGAGCAGGACATCAAAAAGTACCAAGTTAGGAACTGATATTGAAACCCCATATGAAATTCCCAACTTCTAATCCAAACAGACGACAAAATGTCAAAAAATCGTCTTGCTAAAGTAAGCCAATATAAGATTTATAAGCTGGGGGCATTCGCATATTCAATACAATGAGCGGTGATTTATGAATCCTTCGCATTATCAATAGTCGATGGTGCATAAACTTTTTGGCTCATCGAGAAGATGTTTCTTGAATCATTACGAAAGCACAAACTCAATTCACTGAAAGGCCTAGAATTGAGACTAGAATAATTCTAGAGATTACACATTTATTGTTTTCTGTTCCTTTCAGGTTTCGTTTCTGATTTCATTAGGAAAAACACTTGTAAATATATCTGTGATTTACAAAATTTGAATTTTCAACAATACTTTTAGCCCCTCCACAAATATAAGTTTCTGTTTGCTGAATGGAATGGAATGGAAATGGAATTTCAAATGCATGAAAGATGCTTAAACTTTCCAATTTGTTGCCTCTCCGATTTATTAGCAGTGACTTAAAGGTATTTATTACTTATTATCTGATTACATTTATATTGATAATTATAACAAATTTGTGAATTAAAAATTAGTATCAACGTTGTTTATTAAGCCGATACACTTGATGGGAATAAAAGTCGTCATTTGTGAGAAAGAAAATAAGATGACCAAGTAGACAGTTCTCGAATGAATTTTCTTATGAATACGTTTAAGTGAATAGTGCTTTCGTATAAATTTTAAGTCGAGCGCCTAAATTCATTTTCGTCAAACAAAAACGCCCCTTTATTTGCGGTGATGTCTTCTTTGAAAATAAGGTTTGTCTTACTTTCTCAATAAGCCTTATCGACCACTGCTACACAGTCGCACTCATGAGAACCTTCTATACTATAAGAATAGTTCTCTGATTCATATCTAACTTGATATCTTCTACCGAGCGCCTCAGCACCTTGGACTATAATTGAATTTCACTTAATTATCTACTCTAATACAGATATTTACCAATTAGGCTCCTTCCCAAGTTTCTTGACCTCAACTACTAAAGAAAGTCAGTAAAAAACGTGGAGATGTAAAAATGGGCGGTCCATTGTTTATATGAAGCTTTGCGAAACATTCCACTGTAAGTAAAAACGCTGGGATAGAATGATATTTTCAAATTATTCCAAGCCGAAAGCCGGACAAAATTGAACACCCTTCATTCACAGGAAACCGATAATATTTTTTCCCCAAAAATATATGAGAACTCGTTTCTTTGGAGACTGAGTTTTCCATAATACAAATCGAATTTTATGAGCCCTGCTAATCTGAAATAAAACTTTTTTCATTCTTGAGGGCAATTTAACCGCTCTCTGCAAATACAAAAAGATCGATCTTCAAATGAGTCCATTTTTTCAATTTTAACTCTAAAGAAGCTCAATTTGTTTCACTTTCAATTCTACTTCCAGGATGCTTTCAAAATAATTTAGTGAACCGAAAAAGAGTGTTTGAAGGTTATGACCAACACTTGTGCAAAAATGGTCAAGACCAAAATCGGTGTAAAGATCAAATATTTTGGATAAAGTTGCTGATATATTGACACAGACAAGAAAGTTGATTTGCTCTATCCTAGTGTTACATAAGAAATGTCTTTAGCTACCTATCATGGCACAAACGCTTATGAGCACTGTTTCCAGAAGAAATCTATACATTATAATATCATTAATACGATCAATAGGCTCGTAGATGTTGACTCATTTTAATTTTTTGGTTCGTACAGTTGGCTGTTAAGAAATAGCAAGATGACGAAATTCCATCCTCGATTAATGGTGTTTGCTTATCCAATTGCAGTTAGTGGTGATCATTTCACTTGTTTATTTACGAACAGCTAATATAATTTCCAATCTTAGAGGGTGCTGATGGGACTTCATATGAGGAGATATCGTGATCCTCGTCTGTCGAGACAGAGTCCACGAGATCATACCTAACGGTGCACATTCGTTGGCATGAGAAGTTAAAATTGGGGGCTTAATTCCGCTACAAATGGAATACTGTGGAATATGAGTTTCTATAAAAAGCGGCCATTGGGTTTCTTCCCTGTACACAAGTCGGGAATGTCATCGATAATTTCCCTAATGAGCTCGTTAATCTCACTGATTCAAGCTCTAACGGAAACGACATTTAGTCTTTCTTAAAGCATTAAAATTTATATTTTTGTTTTTTTCTTTCCTCTCTAAAATAAATCTGGAGAAAGAATTTGGATCTACCAATTGTTTTCTATCTAAAACTCTCTCGAATGATATTTTTGACAGTCCGTTTTTATATCCAATTTTAAATAATTTTATTAAAATCCTTGCGCATTAAACATTTATTTTTTTAATAATTTCAAACCTACAATACTGGGAAGGAATATTTTGTGCTAAAAACTTGTAAATATTTTTAATAATACATAATTTGTCTAAAACTACTACGGAGTTTGGAGTCGAAGGTTTTAGTGAATATGCAAAGAATTCTCTTCAATAACGAGTGATTAAACAAATAAACATTTGCATCAAGACATTTTTGATAATTAACTCCTCAACTATAACAGATTATACCTTTTGGTAAGAACTATTGCAGTGCTAATAGTAGTCTTTTCAAGCTTAGTGGAAACGAAAAACCCATTTAAATTGAATAAGATAAGTAATTATTTTTGTAAACCGATGAAGGTGTAAAAACGCGATTTTCTTATTTTCTATTTTGATACTGCATTTCGGAATATAATGTGCTGGGTGATAAACTGACAAAATAATATTTTAAGTATTTTTTGAGCCGTAATTAATTTATACTAATTATTACTAGATTATAACTTAAACAAACGTAACTTTAATTTAATTTAATCAAGAAATTAAAGATTACTCATCCTTTTATCCCTTGTAATTAAATTTTAAATTAAGGGAAAAAGTCAAAATTTTAATAAACTAATTAGACCAGCAGCATTTACCCTAATTTCAAAAGGACAAATTTGGCATAATGAATATTTAATCACGAGCAAATATTTTATGTATTGTCCTAATTTATAAAACTTAATAATTATTTTCCTCCGTACAATACCTTTAAAAGTCCATCCACAATGTTCAAATAACCTATGCCATTTGTAGTACTGAATTTCTGAGTAATTTCAAAGCTATAATTTTTGCAAAGACGAAAAGACGGCAATATAGAGAAAATAACATAAATTTATTGATAGTTTTTCTCAACGATACTCTTCCAAGACCTTAAATTAGTGGCGGAGTAAGATTCAAAAATAAATGGCAAAATATGGTAAGATCGGTCTAGATAGGTTATCATAGATTAATCTACCCTCTCGTGAAATTTATAACAAGAGATTATTTCATATAAAATATTTAGTAGTAAATGGTACGTTTTATAATTTAAAATAAGCCCTCTTTGAAGTATTGGGTGAGTGAATACGAGGCGATGCTTTCCGTTGACTAGTAGGGGCCTGTGGAACCACTTCCTGAACTTATAATTTCCATGGATGAGACATGGCAAAGTTGACCGCTGCAGCAGTTCCACTCACTTCCGATGTTAAAAACAGCTCTTTGAATATGGTGTGAGTGAATAGTTTATCAACCATGTTGGGAATTATGCAGTGACAAATCGTACCAGTTATATTGGGGCATTTACTTGGTTGCAAATAAATCCGTACTACATGCTAAAGTTTTCCCTTTTTCGTTTTGATGTCATGACCATTCTTATCCTTTAGCTATTTTCTCCATGCCAGCTGCTTTATTTGAGGAGAACGTGAAAAAGAAAA